GGGTTTAGTTAGTTTGACAAGTGCAGTGTGAATGTGAACCACAAAAACTAAAAATGTAAACAAATCATGCATCTTCAATCGAACAGAGTCTACTGGACTATCAGGTGTGAATACGACCTAAGTTCAACATGCTGACATAAGGAAACAATTGGTCATGTGCATTCCTTGGAGGAACGTTAGGCCTTTTATTATGAATGTTTAACTCAGATGTGTTTTGATGCATGGACTGGCCCAGGTGTAACCAGTGTAGAGTTAGAGGTGACCCTCTCCTGTCCGCACGCCAACATTCAGCCTCAATCAGGCCTCCGTGAAAGGCCAGATGACTCTGCTAATATTTAATGAGTGGGAAGATAAGGCATACCTTCCCCTGGAGAACAGTGGGTAATTTTGGTCACAACAATCTCATATAATCCCAACAATAATGGATTTATTATGCACAGTAGCTTTTTCTAATAGAGTTCCAAAGAAAACCTCAAGACCATCCCGTGTTAAAAGAAAGAAAGTGTCCTTTGTGTCAGGAGATGATTTGCAAGCTCAGAGAAMGGCAACAAGGATGTGCTAACAATGCAGGCTGAAGCCAGGTCCTGCAGATGTCTCTCGGCTTTCTGCTGTGTGGGAGAACAGATGTAAGCAGCAGCAAAACGTCCTGATAAGTCAGATAAAATTAAGCCAGCAAACAAACATCTCATCACGGTTTAATGTTTCTGTCTCGTGTTGTTTGAAGGTTCATCCTGGTCTCTGTCTTCATGTGTCCCTCTGTTAGGAGTTTTCATCATGAATTATTTTTCTCACTGAACCTCACTTCCTGTTTAATCTGTCCACTTTAACTTTGTCCTAAAGGCACAGCAGGTTTCTCTTTGTAATCAGCTCACCTGTAATGTATTTGTCATTCCCTTCTTCAGCACGTTTTTTCTGCTTTTCACTAACCAGATCATCTCTGACGTTTCTTTAGATTTGTCTCCAGTTTCCTGTAACTGTCCTGCTGATGAAGCAGGGTTGTATAAAAAGCAACAAATGCCTGCTAATAAGGAGGATGTGGTAGATTAATTAAACTGAGGTCTCTCAGCCGGTTGAATCATGTTTGATGCTTTCATTAGTGACCTCTTTAGGGTGTATGAAGGATGTGCATTTGGTCCAGCTCATCAAAAAGACCCTCATTCAGAGTAGAACTGTTATTTTTTAAAAGTGGGTCTGTTCTCTGTTTCTGTCATTTTCAGCTTTATTAAAGGCCTAATTACAATCATCCTGCTCAGTTTCATGCTGCGATGGCTATTTGCAGCATCTCAAGTCAAACTCCATCAGTAATTAAGGTTTRTTAGAGGTTTGGGGTGGAATAACGAATGATTAACACGTTGTTTTAACTCSCCTGTTGTTCTTTAATGAGCAGCAAACAATCAGTTCAGACCCACTGATCTGAAAGAAACCGTTTGATTTTACACTGCAGCAGTTTCATTTGTGTTTGAACTCTTTTACTTCAAACCAAATGGTTCTTGACCTGCTGCTTTATCACCATTATGTCATTACGTTTAAACTGACAGTTTAATTATCGCCCGCCACTGCAGGCAAAAAGGCAATAATGTTTTTGCCTGTGTTTGAATATGTGTGTCATTTATGCGTGTATAATGAGCTTTGAGTACCGGTACATTGCATTCTCCATTATTTTAATTAAAAAGCATAAAAAGTTAATCCTTGTGTATAACGCTACCTGTAATTTCATACAGACTTCATCTGTGGAGCTGCAGCACAAGCTTCTGCATGATGCTAAAAAGAATACGCTTCACTCCCATGAGGCAGAAGTCGGTTGTTAAATTAGCAAGATGGTCTCATGAGCATGTGGACATGCAACTGGTGTCCATGTCTTCTTTCTAGCTCTGCAATAAAAAAAGTTTTCTTTCTCAGACTATTGGCGTGAAAACCGCTACGGTTGTTTAATCTATGCTTCACTATGTGCAACATACAGCAGGAGGGAGGTAAAAATTATGTTGATTTATCCCTTGTGACACAATATTTCAGGTATATACAAGACAATATTGAAACTTGTTGTGGTAATGGGTGATAATGGCAAAAAAAGTACACTTCTCTCATTATGCACACATATACTGTATATACGTCAGTCTGCACTGTTAGTAAAACATTTCACCAATGTGTGGCCAATTCTGATTGAAGCTGTCATGAAATAATCTTGTGGACTTCTGCAACTGTTTAACTTTTGGATTCAGCGCAGTTCAACGTGACCTCTGCAGCTACACAGCTTGTGATTGTAGGTTTACATCATTTTTTGTTAGAAATCTTGCCTGAACGGCAGGAGGCGACATGCATTCTTTCAAGGAATGCAACACCTTTAATTATTTTTAGGTTTATCATATAAATGTAGCATAAAATGTAAGGAAGTTTGTGTTTGTTGGATTATTTATTTGTTGTAGCGATGCTTTTTGGCAATACATCTTATAGCGGGCACCTGATTTACAGCACCTACAGGGACTGGTAGCTCAAAACGTGCCAATAAGAACAACAAAATAAGCTTTTTGACAGGGAAGATATGGAAAGCTCTACTGCTCATCCCACAAATGCATGTTCCTTACAAATGTGGCAACATGTTAAAGGGAAATTAACAGGCTTTCCAACAGTATAAGATTTATTYTCAAGAAACTTTGTTAAAACAAAGAAATACTCTACCAAACACAAATTTCCTTACTTTCTGTGCTCAGTATATTTCTTCAGCATCCATCCATATAAACCAKCTCTCCTCTCCTTGTGCTTGTCTTCTCCTCTGCAGTTTTGACGCATCCTCTTGACAACCTGCCCACCCACGCCTCTCGCAAGAAGGAGGGGTAGTGGTGGGCCAGCCCTCGGTTGACTCTGGCCTTGAACGACTCCGGCGCCCCCGGAAGTCGCCCTCCGTGGCTCCGGACCGGCTGTAGTTCCAGGCCTCATCCGTGTCTGCAGTCCTCAAAACAGCCTGCCTCCATGTTTTCATTTCTACATATCAAGAGTTTCAGCAGATGTGGGTGGACTCGTTTTATTTTTGTTACTGCTGTTTGGTGAGACGTGTAAGGACTGCCTTGGCTGGATGAGTGGATATCTCTCGGTGCCAGCTGTGGAGTCGCTGCCTCCTGGAGGGAAACTAAAGAGGGACAACGAGTCTTGGTGAGGAGTTGAACAGGACTCTGCTCTGTTTGTGCTGCTACCCTCTGTTTACATGTGGATCATCAGTGGAGAAGCACAGAAAACTTCAAAACATACCACCTCTTTTCCACTCTTTGTATTCTTTCTTCTACATTTTCTATCTTCTTGACATCCTTGTGTGTAGCGAGACTGCTGTAATCTAATGTTCAGATCCAAATCCAGATGATCACATGGTTGCCATTGTCCACATTCTCATAAAAAATACTTTTCTCTGCCATTCCAAATGAACAGAAAACATATTTTTCAAAGATATACTTCCTGTGTCTTAAACCAAGATGGTCGACATTAGCTGCTGACAAATGTTCTAGTTCTGCAAGATGCAATTATCAGGTGTAATTATTTTCTCTGCTCCCTCAAAGCGCCTATACTGAAGCTGGGGAGGAAGTGAGACGGTTCTCAATATTGTTTATTTGTTTTGATTTTTTTACAAGAAAGTACAGTTTGAGTAAAATGTAGATTATTGGATTAGTTTTCTATATATCTATATATACAAATATATTATGATTATTATTTTTGACTTACTGGTATTAGAACTATTATATGAAAATGCATATGATGAATCAATTAATAAACAGACATCTTTATCTAAAAGTGCATCACTTGTTCATGGTTTTTGTTTAACAAATGAAAAACAAGTGGATGGAAGAAAAGGACATATATTTCATTACATTACAAACAGTTTATCTCTGTCTTTAATGATGGTAATGATAGTTTAAAACACTTTTTCTCCACCAACCATTAAAATAAGTTTTGGTATAAAACTTGCTTATGCCACTGGAGCACAAGGCCAGCCTAATCATGTCTAGTAGACATTGTCTTTGTTCCACAGCATCATTATCTAACAACAGTAGATACCACATTGCAGTATATAAGACYCCCGTGAGAACGCAAAGCACCAATGCACCAGAACAGAACAGATTTATTGTTTTGAGTGGGGTCTAAACAACACCCCCCACCAAAAAAAATTAAAAAAAATTAACAAATCAAATCTGAACCCCCCAATGTTGAATAGTTTTTGAGTTATGCGCATTTTTTTATATCAAGACATTACTTTTTTAGATGGGGTGGGTGTCCAGGGGGGGCTCAGTGATGGGTCCATTGCATAGCCCCCTCAGAGCTAAACACACCGAAACAAAACTAAAATATCTGAAGCTCCTGTGTTGAATAGTATTTGAGTTATAAGCAACACAGTTAGTCCAGACAAACTGTTTGCTTCAGGCAGGAGCAAGGTTTAATTTAATATTTGTTCAGTAAACTTTTTGTTACTCTAATGTTTAGAGGTACAAATGTTAGTGCAAAACAATAAAACATTTCAACCAACCAAGTCCTAACCCCACCACCACCCCACCCCCTGCAATCAGCTTCTCCACAGGAGCTGCAGCTCTAACTGCACTTCTCTGGTAAATGGTCCCTTTCTCTGCTGCTCAGTAATAGGAAGTGTGATTGCATCTGCAGAAGGGTTAATGCAGAGGTCAGAAACTTGTCTCTGTGCTAGCC